TGAGCTACAAGTCCCTTGCAAGAATCAACTAGAGGTCCATAATCTTAACTAGAGGTTCCAACTCACAAGAATCAACAAATATGAGCTTAAAAAATAAACAACTGAGCTAAAGGATCCCTAACATATGTGCCATGCCAAGTGATGCGCATTGCCCTGCAATTTTTTTTTCCTACTCTTATTGACCCAATTACATAAGAGTAGCATAGACATGAATTGTATGAAAACGCATGCAAGAGTTCTTATTCTCAATCCAAATGTTAAATCAAATCCAAAATGCATTCACAAATTCAAAAACTGGACCTACAAATGCATATAAGGTAAACAATCCAAATTCTAAATCAAACCCAACAAAAATGCATTCATAAATTCAAAAACTAGACCTACAAATGCATAGAAAGTAAACAACCCAAATTAAAGAGTATCAAACGAGTTTCAAAGATAAAGCAAATGACATAAAAAGACTTAACCTTGAACTTCACTTCCTCCTTCTCCTTCTTCTTCGTCATCTTCTTCCTCTGCATCTTCTTCGTCCTCATCGTCGCCCTCATAATTCAACCCATATCTCGCATTCAGATAATCCACAATCTCTGGCGTCAGAATCAATTTATCCGCATTCAAAATATCAAACAAATTCAAAGTCCTCGGAGTCAACATCTTCAAAGTCCCAATATTTCTACTCGAAAGCCTCACATTGTCCGCGACCTCCCTCATCAAAAAGGTCGTCTTCTCGTTCGGGTCCAATCCCCATCTCTTCATCGCCGCAATGAACTCCTTCGTCTTCGGCTTCTCGAACTCGTCGCTGAAATCCTCAACCACGATCGTGTTCTCCGCCGCGCTCGCTACCGCCGTCGAAATCGCGAGCCTCTTCTCCTTGCGGTTGATCTTGATGCTCCAATCTCTGGGCTTGGGTCCGAAAACGACGCCTCCGCCGGGCCGGAGCGGCGTCCGGGTCGACCCCTGGCGAGCCCGACCCGTTTTCTTCTGCGGGTAGGGTTTCCGGCCTCCTCCGCGGACCTCGGCTCGTGTTAGCGTGGAAGCGGTGCCGCGGCGCTTGTTCTGGAGGTCGGTGATGATGGCGCGGTGGACGACGGCACGTGCGGTGTCGGGGAGGGCGGCTTTAAGGTCGAGGAAGGTCTCGCCAACCTTGTCGCCGGTGAAGGAGAGGACGGGGAGGGTGGCGAGCTCGGAGGAGATGGTGAGGGGTTTGAGGGTTTTGAGAGAATTGTTGGGTATGAGGGTTGAGAGGGGTTTGTGAGAAGAGGAAGTGAGGAAAATTGAGGAGGTGAAGAAGGAGAGAGATAGAGGCGTTGCAGAGGCCGCCATTGTTAAGTGTGTGTGAGAGTGAGGGAGTCTTCTTCTTCTTATGACTGTGAGTGAATTTGTTATCCACTCTCACTGCGCCACTGCCTATCCGTTGGTGACTTTGTCCTGGTATGATACAAAACGACCTGTCGTTTGTTTGTTTGTTTCTCTTTCTGATATAGCAGATTACTACGACATTCGTTCTAACGGATAGGCAGTGGCGCAGTGAGAGTGGATAACAAATTGAGTTTTTACCTTTCACTTTCAAAAATGTCAGTTTTTATAAAATCTTTCAAATATATTTAAAAACTCATCTAAATAGACACAATACCCTTAAAAATTAAAACCCACGTAAACTTCAAAAGAAAGCTCATGTACAAATGGGACTCTAAAAGAAAGCTCATGTGCAAACCAGCTATAGATTAAGATCTTTAGAAAACTATTGCGATAAAAGACGTTGGCTTTGCATGGACCATGGCTACTATAATTCATGCTTTTTCCTTTTCTAATAATCAATTCAAAGACTTTATCCTCACATGGGCCAAACCAAAAGCGCCGCATCTCTACTGTATATCATCTCAAATCTACAAAAATTGTGAGGAAAAACATGCTTTAGCTCCCCATCCAGCTTTCAAAGTCCACACAAATGGGTCTTATAGCACTCTGAACTAGTTATTGGGTGACAGGAGTATAATTATTTATGGAATTGATGGGTAGATGGCGGAGCTGCGCTTCAGAGAGGAGGTGTGAGTGGTTGGATTCGTCGGAGGGGTAGTGGGTAGGGGGGGG